GGTGGCATATAGAAGCATAGGGAGAGAGAGGAGAGGAGAGGAGAGCAGAGCAGGAGGGGAGGGGAAAGAAACTCAGAGCATCATGGGGCCCCCAGCAGCCTAGGCCTATAGCAGCATAACTAAGGGAAGGCTCAGGGTCACCTGATCCAGCCCTAACTATAAGCTTTATCAAAAAGGAACGTCTTAAGTCTAATCTTAAAGGTAGAGAGGGTGTCCGCCTCCCGAACTGAGACTGGGAGTTGGTTCCATAGGAGAGGAGCTTGATAGCTAAAGGCTCTGCCTCCCATTCTACTTCTGTGGACTCTAGGAACCACAAGTAAACCTGCACTCTGAGAGCGAAGTGCTCTGTTAGGATGATAAGGCTCAAAGAGGTCTTTAAGATACAGTGGAGCACTGTCATTAAGGGCATGGTATGTTAGGAGAAGGATTTTAAATTTTATTCTGGATTTTACAGGGAGCCAGTGGAGCAAAGCTAATATGGGAGAGATATGATCTCTCTTGCTAGTTCCTGTCAGTACTCTGGCTGCAGCATTTTGGATTAACTACTAATATCCTTCATCAGTTCAGTTATGGCCAATGATGTTGATCGATTCGATCTAAAACCATATTAACTTTCAGAAAGGATTTTATGTGTGTCTATAAATATATCCAATCTGTTATTAAAAGGTTTTTCTAAGATCGTTGAAAATTGTAATAGCAGGGAAACTGGCTTGTAATTTGTGAAATTGTGCCTATCCCCAGATTTGTACAACGGATGACTGACAATGACTTCAGTTTTGTCAGAGTTTAGAAGTAAGAGGTTACAGGCCATCTAGGCCTTTATGTCTTTAAGACATGCTTGAAGTTTGACCAGCTGATCTGATTCATTTGGCTTCATAGAAAAATATAACTGAGTGTCATCTGCATAGCAATGTAAATTTATGCTGTGCTTCTGATAATATTGCCTAAAGGGACCATGTATAAAGTGAAGAGATTTGGACCTAACACAGAGCCCTGTGGAACGCCGTGACTAACTTCAGTCTGCATTGAAGATTCATCATTAACTTGAACAAATTGGAATCTTTGTGATAAATAAGATTTTAACCAATTTAGTGCAGTTCCATTAATCCCAGTTCTAGTCTCTGCAGCAAGATGCTGTGATCAGTGGTGTCAAAAGCAGCACTGAGGTTGAAGAGGACAAGTATGGAGACAAGTCCTTTGTCTGAGGCTAGGAGAAGATCATTGGTGACTTTCACCAATATTCCACCTCTTTACCCTTAAAAGCTCCTTGGTTGCTTCTACTATATGTTGAGGATCACTGTCCCACTCTGCTGAATGATGAACTGTTGTCCAGTGCATTCTAATGCATTTGAATGAATCTGAGCCACAGGCTGCTCCTCTGTACCTCTATATCCATCGTGTTGCTTCTGTCAGCAGTGAAATCATCAATAAATACCAGTGTGCTAGTCCTACTGGCAGCCACATGTGTCCAAAGTGTAACAGAGGCACCATCAGGAGCAGTATTTGTCAGGTTTGCTCGGCCGCTCTGGCCTCCCTCACCTTTCCTACTGTCTCTTGCCCAATTACTCTTATCACGTTCACCTGTTCCTCACTCCCTTATCACCAGCTGCACTTGATTAGGTCACTCACTATATTACCCGGTTTCACTCCTTAGTCACTTGCCAGTTCGTTCTAGTCTCTAGGCCAACTTTACTCTGTGCGTTTTCATTGTTTTGTATGTATTTATCCCCTAGCCGTTTACTGTTTTGTGTTTCCCCGAAGGAAATTCTATTCTGAATCTTACAGGGAGCCAGTGGAGAGAAGCTAATATGGGAGAGATATGATCTCTCTTGCTAGTTCCTGTCAGTACTCTGGCTGCAGCATTTTGGATTAACTGGAGGCTTTTTAGGGAATTATTGGGACATCCTGATAGTAAAGAGTTACAGTAGTCCAGCCTGGAAGTAACAAATGCATGGACCAGTTTTTCAGCATCACTTTGAGACAGGATGCTCCTGATTTTTGCAATAGACTTGAATATTGCAATTTGGTGAAACTAATGTAATACCCCAGTTCTTTTATTGGACAGCTCTGAATAACGAAGGAGTCCGTCTTTCTTCATTTTAGTGCTGATTTATTTTAAAACAACATTTTTGTGTGCGTGTGCTTGTGTAATGAGAACTGTAGCCTTACTGGGCATTCCAATGAGTTTATTTAGTAAAAGTCTCCTCAATAAACAGCAAAAACAGTTTACAGTAAATTACAAACCTTGAAAATGCAAAACATGTTCCAAATACGAGCATAACAAAGATTTGTATGAAATAAAGAAAACATGAGTTAACTCACAGAAGTTGTCTTTTTTAGATATCATCAAAAAATAAATAGGTCTATATCTCATGACAATAATAGTGGATGCAAAGTAAAGGCAACTGGCACAGAGTTAAAAGACAGCAGTCTGGTTTCAAAGTAAATTGTCACAGAGAGAATGACAGGTTTGGCAATTTCAAAATGCATCATCCTACTGTATGTTGTTCACAATGTTTCAGATGTAAAGCATCTTCACAGCTCTCGGCTTCCTTATAAAGTTAATATGGTTGAGTTTACTGTCAGTTTTAGACAAGGTAACACAAAAATTGGATTGTGTATTCTTTTTCCTCCAAGTTCATGGCATACCAACAATTATTTGATTTCAGACTAAGAACTGATGGACACTTTGCTGATAGAATGATCTGGAATACAACAGTAGAGCATGCCACTATAAAAATTGTTGAAATATACAGCGATCTATTTCACAGAGACACAGAAGAACAGATGTATCACTTTTCCATGAAAATGATGAGCTGTTACTTAGAGCAGTCCGAGTAAAATAGTGGTCCTATATTCTACAACAAAAGTCAGATATACAGATATAGTTATTATCTGGTTACAATGTGTAACCCAGTTGTGCACAACACTTCATACATTTATCTATGTATTTCCATTCTTTTTCTGGTTACATAAAAGAGTAACATATAGCATGATGGATAATGTTTGACAGTTAGTGAATATTCCACAAGTCCCTCCCATAATTATCCCTGTAAAAAACTATTTCAAGCTACAACTAGAGATATCAGTACACCGCAATACCCAACATATATCATAGACAGTAGAAGAGTATATATATGGAGGTCTTATCAAATGCATTTGTGACAGGGGACCGTGAGTGATACAATACAGATAGATTTGCATGGGCCAGTATAAATGCTGACTGGTGGCTATTTACAGTTTATGATTATAAAGTACTGTGAAGAAGACAAGCCACAGTAGAGTATAGATGCACCAATACTGTATTTTTAATGAGACACAGATTTCACCAGTTCCTGTAAAACTAACGGTTTGAGCACATGTTAGAAGTAATTTTTCAACAATAATCAAGGAGGCAGTGAGTAAACCATTTCTACTACTCCATAGCCCATAAGAATATATGCAGGGAGTGGCAGGATTGTGCTTCTAGGCCAATGAGGGACCAGGGATTTAGAAATTATTTATTTTAAACTGCCTGCAACAGACTAGATAAAGCTAAAGACAAAGCCAACCATTTTGCAACCTGGTTGTGAATTTTGGAGGCGTACTGGCTTTAATAATATATATGTACTACAAGTAACTATAACTGCCTTAGTCTTCATGTAATTATGTTAAAGCCTTTACACTGTTATGCTCATGTTGAGTTCTTTAAGATTTTCAGTTCTTTTTATTTCATTTCCTTTGATAATATAGTCGTTTTTAAAGTAAATTAACTAGCACAGTATTAGGCTAAGAAACAGTGTTACTGTCATTGAAAAGAATGAGCCTCTTCTCTGCTTGTTTTTCCACAGGTTTGCTTATCATCAGTTTTATTTTTCTAATATGCATTTGCATACATCCTTTAAATCTTACCAAAATTGTTTAGAAAGATTAAATCTGACTTCAAAAACAAAACAAAACTGGAGTTACAATGTAGAAGATCTGTGTTCAGCTATTTAGACTAGTGCAAACCTCTGGGAAAATGTGCTAAAAATATTTAATGGATGTTTCTTTGTGAGATCAGTATATTCAGCTGGTCGTCAACACCAAATACATTTTTGCTCCTAAACAGCCTTGTTGGGGTGGCTGTGGCAGTCGTCTCCTGACCAGCAAGTTGGTGGTTCGACTCCCGGTCTCCCCACATGCCTAAGTGTCCCTGAGCAAGACACTGAACCCCAAATTGCTCCCGGTGGCTTGACTAGCGCCGTTGTGTGGCAGCTGTCGTCATCGAATGTTCTGTGTGAATGGGTGAATGGTGTATCATCTCTGTAAAGCACTTTGGCCAGTGTAACACACTGTGGAAATGCGCTATATAAATACAGTCCATTTACCATTGTTCACAAAACATGTTGATGGTAGTATTTAACATGCTGTAAAAGTATGTCTTTGCTGGACTCTAACAGTACTTAGCTTAGCTCTCCAGACTGTGCCTTTGCAGATGGCTGCAGACATGTATTTTTGTTTCTGAATAAAATTATGATAGCTGTCATTATATTCTTATCTATACAGTATCTATGTGACATCTAAGCCACAAACTCCAGTCAATGATGAGACTATGAAATGTGGTTTATAGTTACTGAAAATAGTTAGTAAGCAGACCTTAAGCTAAGACTATTTGTTAGGACTTTAAATTATTGTTTTGGGTGTTCAACAAAAACAGGCAAACATTTGAAAAGGTTGTCTGTTGAATCAGATTTAGTTCTACTTTTGCAATTAAAAGTGAAAAACCTATGGCAATGACTTTAGTCTTTGGCATGGAAAAATAAAGCTTGGCATCGAAAGCAAAACCATAACTGAAAAAGCAAACATTGGCATTGAAGCATTTGTAATTTAAAAAACCCATTTGTATTAAAAAAAGTATTAATACTGGGAAAATGACAATCTTCTGAGTTTTTTTTTTTGTTAATGCAAGTATTTCTTGATACCACAGTTTTTTCTTCCAGTTTCACTTCTCTGTCATTGTTTTGCTGTGGAGGGGAGGGCTTTGAGGGGCGGGGCCAACAAGAGTGTGATTTGCATATTCTGGCTGAGATCCATGAGGAGACGACAGCCCTCTCCCCTGAGCCACTGTGTGCATCGAGGCTTCTGTCTGCTGAGCATGGCCGCATAGTTTCTGCAGCAGCTTCCCCCAGTTCAGCCGGAGCTCTCAAACTGCTGTGTGTTTCTCTCTGCTGGTGTCTTTACTCACAGAACTGAGCTACGCTAAACCTCACACATGAGCACTGGCTGCAGCAGACATGACACCTGCATAACATTAGATGAACTCTCCTTAGCCCTGCCCCTCAGCCCTCCCCTCTGCACCAAAACAGTGACAGAGAAGTGAAAAAAAAAATACTTACATTAACAAAAAAACTCAGAAGATTGTCATTTTTCCAGTATTAGTGCTTTTCTTAATGACTTTTTTTTTTTAAATACAAAGCTTCAATGCCAGTGTTTGCTTTTTCGGTTACGCTTTTGTTTTTTTCAGTTATGGTTTTGCTTTCAATGCCAAGGTTTTTTTCTCAGTGCCAAAGACTAAAGTCATCGCTCTGGTGCCATAGAAACCACCCGCTCCACCTACAAACTGCTTAACAAACAAACTTAACAGGTCATGAAAGGGGTATACTTTACAATTTTTAAAATGGTTTTTATTCTGACGGGGCGAGCATGGCCTCAGTGGAAAAAAGGTTTCATATAAACTAAACCTTTCAATAGTTGCCAATAGAGTATGACAAAAATCTTCAAGTACATAATGGCATAATTGTATGTTATTATATGTTTATTCAACAATATACACTTAAAAGCAATCACTAATTCAAAATCTTAATCTGTCTATTTTAGAGAATTTAGCACAACATAGGCTTTACTTTGACAGGAGTTTAATTATTGAAAAAAAAAGTGTGGCATAACGCCTTAATGTCTTACCCTGGTATCCACCTGATTACTTATAACAGTATCAGTATGGGTGCATCTTTCATACAAACACACAAGTCCAACAGAAAAGTGGTGACACTGGCAGCCAGTAGATGGTGCTGATGAGAAATCATGTTGTACATTCACCTTTCCAACACCACAGCTACAAAGAGTGATTTTCCATTCATGTCTCCTTAACTTAGTGTTCTTCTATGAGCATCTGGTTCTGGGGGACACAATAAAAGAGAAACACTGTTATTGTTGACATTATTAGTAGTTGTATTAGTCATAGATATAAAATGCCGACCACTGCTCTGCAAAGAATTTCAAATTAGGCAAACAACTAGCTGTTGTTAGTAGAAAGTTCCATAATCATAGTAGTAACTATGGAACAACAGTGGACTTAAAACAATGAAGACAATATTTTGTAGTTTATTATAATGTTAAGGATGACACAATTCATTTATTTATAGAAACATCCTCTGATGTGGAACAAACAAGTTAAGCCTGCACAAACTAATATTTTGAGGGTAGCAGAACCAGCTCTAGGACATTACTCTGTTCTACCCTGTGACCCTCTACAGGATAGGCAATATAGCTAATTGTTGGATGGTGAATGTAAGTCCAATATTAACTTTCCATTTTGCTCTCGTTTGCTCCCCATGTCCTGCCAGAAGCTGTACTGACTTAAGGCCTCACCAGGAGGCAGGTAGCTTATTCTGGAGCTGCCCCTCATCAGGTCCTTGTGAAATCTGCCTTCATTTTAGCCCAAAGCAGTCTATCTAGTTCTGTTCATGTGCAGATGACCAGATGTTTAGATGTCTATTCAAAACTAACTAAAGTAAGAGAACAAACACATGAGAGAGCATGCTAACAAGGCAGCCATGTGCAGCACCATGATGTACAAAACAGTGGACTTTAGGAAGAATGAATGAATGAATGACAACATACTGTATGTGCTCTACTGGTGCTCCTTTTATTTTTACAAGTACAGCTAAAATGATCTAATTTCTGCCTCTTATGGCCAGTGGTGGAAAATCATCCACTCCTGCTCTCACCAACAGTAGTTACAGTGTTTTCAAAGGGAATGTTTTAGTTTTTACAAGTCCATGGGTCCCAACCTGGGGTCTGTGCACTCCTTAGAGGGTCGCCAAAGAAGGCAAGGCACTGATTATCTGCTCTGAGGTTGTGATGTTGTCAAAATCTGATGTGCACATGTTAAATAACTATTTAAAAAAAGATTTTTTTGGTCCATAGCCAAAAAAAGTTAAGGTCCTTATATTGTTGTGCAGGTACAGTAGGCTGTGTGTGGAAAGGCATAGGTGAGTCCACTTGAACATTATCCTGGCCCCCCTCCACAATGGCATGTGAAAGTGTGTTTACCATTGTTCCTCATCAAAGCTTTGCAGTACACCTGACCCCATTTATCCACACAAGTAAGGTGTAGAGCAGAGAGGGCGCAGCGGAACAGGCAGCAGGATTTTGTTTATGTTTGGACTACGTGACACAAAATCCTCCCTGCATGGTTTTAAGAAAGTAAGGCCACATTTATAGAACATAACCGATCAGAAACAATTAGAATACAATGTTTTATTTCTCTGATTCATCGCTTTGTTCTTGCTACTGCTACTCACTCTCTTTGTTCACAGTCTATCTTGCTCGGCCACCATTACTTGGGTGTTTTGACCATGCGTGGTGAGGGCCCTAAACTTTTCAGTTGTGAGCATCTTGGGCTAATGCAACAGCGCCAAGTACCATTTTGTCACTGTGTAATTTTTAGACTGTAAAAGTATTTTTAACCTACAGCAATCAACAGTGACTAAAAGTAGTTTTTCTTCAAACAGTTCGTTGTAGCTGTAGAATTATGAAACATAAGTTTTTAAACTGCTGCTTGTGTTGAGTTGACACTAATAAATGGTCAGAGTGATGAGTATGAAGACACTTATGAATCCCACCTTACTGTTGGCAGTATTCTGGATGATGTCGTTGTCAGGGTCTCCTCCTTCTGAGCCGCTCTTTTGGTCATCATCTTTTCCATCCTTGTCCAGGTCGTCCTTTCCAGATGAGATCCTTGACAACTTGGAGGATTTCTACCACAGGCACAGAGATCAGGAAGGGGAAACTGACTGTCAGAATGTTCATGTTTAAGAGACAAAAAGCATCAGTAGCAGCAAATCAGAGAAACATGGTTAGAAGAGAACAACAACCATTCACACCGAAGTAGTGTCATTTTATAGTAAGCAAGGATTTTTCTCATAATTTTAAACATCATTATATAAACTAGCAAACCAGTTACTGGTTGTAACATATTTTTGTAATTATGACAGTTCAAAAATAACTCAGTACACTAATTCAGTAACTCCTAGGATACTGAGTATCTCTCTTAGGGTGTACTCACACTAGGCATACTGTGCCCGAGCACATTGTAAAAGCGGAACTCTTCAACTGCACCTGGTTTGGTGGATATACTGTACGTACAGTATGTTCCCTTCTGCTGTTGCACTGTGACCAGAGGATGTGGAGAAAAATACAGGGCCTGAGGTTACTTCATGTCCAGGTAATGTTCCTGTACAGGGACTTGCTGTTTTACCTGACCAGGTCTAACCTACCACCAGCCGGCCAGTGAAGCCCCCTGGGGTGCTGAATGATCAGCTCATCAACACTGCATTCCCCTGGAGCTCAGTACCTGTTTGTTTTGACTGCTTGAGGCCAGTGTGTCTGCCGCATGTGATGTGTTGCTGCAGAGGATTAACGACCCATGATGTTATTGACAGTGCTATGCTACCTGTTAGAATTAATTTCACTACTTTGGGACTGTATGTGGTCGTGTGGGGGAAGATGCAGCAACCATGGCTGGATTTACCGACCTTGGAGCTACTTGAAAGGGAGTGATGTTTCCACTACTCAGTGGGACTTAACGGTAAGTTAAAAAAAACACAAGACCAGCAACAGGAGCTGTGCACATTCACAAACTATCCTCTTGTTTTTTGGAAGATGCTCTCTGGTTTTATCATTCTGAAATAATTAAAAACTATTTGGAGTTATGAGCAGTGCAAAGCTAATCTGGAGGTACTCAAGATTAAACATTTAATGTTTGGAAATGAGCAAAATGAGCAGCCATGGGCTCTTTAACCTAACCAAATCCTAACCTTATATCAAATCGTCACCCTAAAATTAAATTATTTTCTCAGTAGGGACCAGCATCTGGTTTCCATGAATAGAATAGAATAGAATAGAATAGCCTTACTGGTCACTGTACAACAAAATTTAAGATGCAATCTTTCTGTGCATAAGTTATAAAAGAGCTACAATAGTTTTAAAAACCTAAAAGACTGTATAAATAAATAAATATACATACTGATTTTTCTAAAAACATCCTAATACACACACCAACACATTTTCACATTGCTGTGGGACTGTTGCATGATTCCAATGTGTCAACACATCACAGTGGATATGTTGTGGAAAGTATCACGCTTTTATTGCAACTATGGCTCTGGGATAAAAGCTGTTTTTAAGTCTATTTGTCTGTGTTTTGATTGCCCTTTATCGTCAGCCAGAAGGTAGCAGTTCAAACAAATTGTGCCCAGGGTGGGAAAGGTCTCTCAGAATGGTATGAGCTTTATGGAGGCAGCGGGTGCTATACAGGCAGCCAATAATCTTCTGAGCAGCGCTGACGACCCTCTGGAGCGTTTTCCCCTCTGCAGCTTTGCAGCTGGAGAACTACACACAAACACAATACGTTAGTAAGCTCTCTACGGAGCAGCCATAGAAGGTCACAAGCAGTTTTTGTGACAGGTGGTTTTTCCTGAGTATCCTCAGGAAGTACAGTCTCTGCTGTGCCTTCCTCACCAGCAATATGGTGTTGATGTTCCAGGTCAGGTCCTTCCCCAGCTACACACGCAAGAATCGGGAAACTGCCACCCTCTCCACACTGTCCCTAGTCACTAATCAGCTCCTTAGTCTTAGTGATGTTAAGCACCAGGTTGTTGTTATTGCACTGCTCAAACAGCTGGTCCACCTCATCCCTGTAGGCCAACTCATCCCCCTCCGAAATGAGCCCCACCACGGTGGTGTCATCTGCAAACTTGATGATGCTGTTGCTGGGATGGGTGGGGACACAGTTGTGGGTATAGAGGGTGTAGAGCGGAGGACTCAGCACACAGCCCGGTGGTGAGCCAGAGATGTGTGCACCGACTCTCACCCTGTGTGTATGGTCTGTCAGGAAGTCCTTAATCCAGAGACAGATGGAATAAGATAGTCCCAGGTCAGTTAGGTTGTACACAAGTTTGTGATGGAGGATGGTGTTGAAAGCAGAGCTAAAGTCCATAAAGAACAGCCTGGCGTAGGTCCCCTTCTGCTCTAGGTGGATCAGAGGAGCTGCCTGTGGGGATGGTAATCCATGGAGAGCCCAGTGGCCTGGCTAAATCCAGGGGGATGTCGTGGAAGTGAAGAAACTCAGATGTGACAGACCGCTCACTACATACTCCTATTTCTATGAGGTCGTGCTAACTGTAGATGTTTTTCTCCCAGCAGAATGTCTTCAGGACAAGCAACAACATATACATTCATTCATCTTCTATACCGCTCAGTCCCAAACTCCGCACAGAAAGGTCGCGAACCCACAACCTTCTCACTGGGAGGCAACAGTGCTAACCACTGTGCCACCCAACATATATATAAATAGCCAAACAAAGCACCAAAAGGGAGTGCACTGACCCGCTGCGTCTATGTGTGCCGCCATGTTTGCCGGAGCAAAAGAAGAAGGAGAGTCCCCACGGTGTGAGTGCGTAAACAGGCTTTGGTCCCACAAAGTGAGTAATACCAGATGTACACACAAACTACTTCAACGACGTAATAGGACACACAAACATTAGTGCACCATTCCTCAGCAGTGCCACATTCCTTCAGACGTGCCACGTGCTGCGTGTATGGGCCCCAGTTGCTAGGCAACAGAGATTGCTAAGTGAGGAGCAGGATGTGTGTGACTTTTTCATCTTGCTTCCATATACAGCAGCAGCAGCTTATGTGCAAACACAGTAACACACTGTGGCACTGCTGAGCCTTTTCTTTTTTTTCCAAAATAAAGCCAAAGTCAAACAGAAGAGAACAGCAGAAAGAAAGATAGTAACAGTTTGTTAAGGAATCTAAAATGAAATGATGGTCTAATGTTCAAAAATCTTAACTGGCAGACCTAAACCTCTTTGCAACCATTATTGGAATACTGGAAATATGCATCAGATATGCTGTTATGTTCAAAGCTAAAGCAGGCATTACAGCTTCATCATTATCAATAAATCCCATGAGAATATAAAAAAATCTGTTTATTTCCTAGATATATATTCTAAGTCACTAAGTCAACATCTGGCCAGTGTACCAAAAATGTTACTCAAACAGGAGGAAATAATACATTTGTTGGTAACTATTTTCAGGCAGCTTGACCGGCATTTGGTGATCTTTTGAGTATTTCCACAAAATTGAGTCAAAGTGAAAGGACTTCACTCGTGTCTCCTCCAGGCAGCTTCCTCAGCCCTCAATTCTCGCTCCTCAGAGCAGGAATAAGAGCTGTGGAACGTCCTTCTAGATGGTAAACCAGAACGGCTTCCGGGTTGAGCGAGGATCAAGGATCAAATAAGGCAATTGGAATTTACCTAGACACTTTTGGAGGGAGATTAGGGAGGCAGTGCAATGGCATCAGAAAGAGAGATTTTCAGCCTACATTTGAGAGTGGTTGTTTGGAGCACGTAGAAATACTTCACTTTAGACCAGTGTTTCCCAACCACTGTGCTGCCGCACATAAGTGTGCCATGAGAAATCATCAGGTGTGCCGTGGAAGATTATCCAATTTCACCTGATTGGTACTCTAAGTGAGTGGCGTGTAGTGACAGGCAGAACAATTACATGCTCTTCCACTAGAGTATCGTGCTAAATATGAAATCCTGCTGTGAGTGAGACAGGTAATAAGGATGGATAAATATTTAAAAAGAAAAAGTAGTCGGTCTGACCTGGGTCCTGGAGAAGGTTCAACTAAACAGGCCCAGGTTTCACACTAAGTAGGTAAATTGAGCAAACTGAGACTAGATTTTCATTATATTTCAATAAATATAGTTTTTGTGACATTTTTGTTTGGTGGTGTGCCTTGTGATTTCTCTAATGTAAAATGTGCCAAGGCTCAAAAAGGTTGGTAAACACTGCTTTAGAGATAGTTAGTTGATAACAAGTTGAACAAGCTAGTTTTTTTTTAATCATACTGAGGGAGACTTTAAGAGATGCCAGTGTCAACCTGTAGATGCAGATGATTATACTCCACTGACTCCAAATGTATGCTGCCTCTTTAATAGAAAATCACAACACTCAAAATCCCATAATATTGATCCCATGTCTTTACGGTCACAGGTGAATGATGCGTAATAAGAGTATCTAAATAGCATATCTATCCATCAGTGTCACAAATAATAAACAACTGACCTTCACTGTCCTTGTCAAATCTCAAATAAGCAAACATAATATGAGAGGTGATTGAAAGACATCGTTTGATCTAACTGATTGTGTTATTTTTCAGGCAGGTGGTCATTGTCACATCAACTTCAGTGCTCCTGTTACACCTGAAATGTCCTCGCTTCTGTGTTAATATGTTCACTAGCTGGAGTCAAGTACCTTAGATGCGGCTGTCTTTTTCCGTTTGGATCCAGTCTTGTCCCCCTTCAGTTTTTCTTTGTCATCCTCCTCAACAGAGTCACCCTCTTCGCCTTCGCTGCTGCCATGAGCAGTGTTGCCACCCTCTTCTGTTTCTGATGAACTCTGTTGCTGGATGGCCTGTGTGTGAAAAATGCCCACCATTTGTTTTGGAAAACTAAAAGCTGATATAAAGCTGGTTGTACAGTAACTGACACTTCAAATCAAGTGTGACTGCAACTTGATTAACAAATGAATCCATCTTTCTTAACCAAACGCTATCTGCTTTGAACTACCCTTTCATTTGTGTCTTATACTTCTGGCAAGGCAACAATGTGTCCTTGGGGAGCATCAAGCCTGTGTGTCATCTTTATCTCCCACTGTTTCCTCTCTGAACCACACACATAATGCCGACTGACCTGATAGCCAGTGAACTTAACTCCGGGGTTGTTCTCGATCTCCCACAGGCCCTCATTGAAACCTTTCCTCTTGTTGGACTTGCCAAATTTGTCTTTATACTCCTTGTAGGGCAGAAGATCCTTTGGGCCCAGGAATGCACTAAAGAAGGGAAGAGACAGTTACTACTATTGCTATTACTCCCCTCAACAGTTTGGAATACCGCATGATGATTCTCAAAATAAATGGACATATAACAGTTATACAATTTAGAGAAATTTAAATTTTCTAATAGCATGAGCTGCCAGGCAACTTCCAACCAAACCAATATGAATATAAAACTAAAATACTAGCAGACCCTATTTCTTACCTCAGGGGTCGGGTTGTGTTTTTGCCAGAGTTTGCTGGTTTGTTTCTTTGTTTGTTTGATTGTTATCAGCATAACTAAAAATAATAAACGGATTTGGATTACATTTTTTGGTAAGGTAGGGTATGGGCCATGAAATTGTTTAAATTTTGGTGCTGATCCATATCATAATTTGGATAGAGGAATATTTTAAAAGATTATTAATCACTGTGAGTACTGGAAAGGCTATTGACTGTATGTGAAGCCCCCTTGTGGCCAAAATGCATGGCTGCACCGCTGAGCACTTCAAGCACACATGGAGACAAATAGCTTGACCAAGCTAGCTCTATTAGCAGACAGCTACATCTCCTTCAGAGCACAGCAATCTGTCGGCAAGGACACACATTATACTGTAGCTGTGTTTCCACTGTTAGAACATAACGAGTGGTATGCCCTGTGCATCCCTTAACTGTCACCTGGCATAACCTCTCAGGTCGATGTGGACCATCCTGCTTTGTTTTTCCATTATATTTTGCACTGTATTGCTCACAGTTTAAAGGAAGGAGGGGCTGTGCTCCTCTCACACATGCACATTCACAGCTGAGCATAGGGAGGACAGAGGACCTGAAGGATCACGCGACAGTGCAACAATCAGTCAGTAACAGAGACTGTATGAGCAGTTTATCAAACAGCTGTTGAGCAAGCAGAACACAAACTTGCAGAAATGTGTCGTCACCACTTTGCCCCCAGTCCACACACTGAAGTCCTTATTTTACCCCTAAATCAACGAGTGAATTTATTATGTCTATAGTTTTTCTTGAATAACTTTCAAACCAATAGTGATATCAATGTGATTCCAAATGTTAGCGGTAGCATTTCATAGCCATAGAATAATATTTTAATTATTCATATTTCAAACTATCATGGGAATATTGCTTTTTGGTGTAATGGCATTATGGTTAAATGGAGCTGCCTTGGCAGAGGTTTGCCTTCTCTGAGTGCTGTCTGAGTGATCTTTTCAAGATGGCGCCGATAACGAAGGCAGTCTTGGTTATAACGTTGCTTTCGTCAACAAAAATTAGGACTAAATATCATCAACGAACCCTTTATCACGTGATGAAAATGAGACAACGAAAATGCTGGTCATGTGATGATGACTATAATCAAATGTATAATGCAATATTGTTGATGAAAAAAAAGGAAACTAAATGTGGTTTACAAAATAAAAACTATGCTAAAATGTCTCTTCATTTTTGTTGACCAAAACAAGACAAAATGAAATGTTATGTTATTTCATCTCGTTTAGTCACGTTATTATTATTTTGCAGTATTTCCATTTCCTGTGTCTCGCTTCAGGGGCCGCATCAGGTCGCACTGCGCAGACACAGGCGACGTCACTTCTTTAAGTAACAAAGTTAAGTCTGACACAGAGAAAAGGACCAATGGCCGGTCAGCTGGGATTCGTCTTTTAGAGAAAAAAAAAAGAAACGACATTTGGAAAAACTTTTATTACGTAGAAGTGGAAAAGAAAACGGAATGTGTTGTAGAAAAAGATGGGGAGAAATGCAGCCATAAAATCACACAAAATGTGTATTGGATGTATTCTTGAGTCTATAAGGTAACAATGATATAATAAGATAACCTTGTTTGAAATGGGTTTGGCTAAAAGAAACTTTTGGTTTTGTCTATACTATTAGGCACTTGTACTATATTGACTGGGTTAAATAGAATTGCATTACTAAAAAGAGACTAAAATACAATTTTCATTGACTAAAACTAGACTAAATGTCATCAGTTTTTGTTGACTAAAACTAGATGAAAATAGTCATGGATAATTCTGACTAAAGTAAGACTAAAATGCTCAGACTTTTTGACTGAAACTTGACTAGACTAAAAAGAGTATGACTAAAGCTAATAAAAACTAAAATGACAGCGTCACACAAAGACTAGACTAAAGCTAAAATTAAAACAGTGTCAGGTTTGCTCGGCTACACCTTGCCTTTTCTCACTTCTTCTGTCTTAGCTCACTCCACCTCACACACCTGCCACCTGTTTCCTTAATTATCACCAGCTGCATTCACTCAGCCCCCCACCTTATTTATACCCTGCTCACTTTTCACTCCCTGCTAGTTCGTTCTCAGCCCTCTCTACGTTCTCCCTTATGTTTATTGATTCATTTTTGGTTTATGATTGTCTAGTTTCCCACCTGTTTTTCCTGGATTCCAGTTTACGTCTCCTGTTCTACCTAGCTCCTGTTTTCCTCTCATGGACTACCTTCCTCTGGACCTTGGCCACACTCTACCCTTCCAGACAAGTCGATGCACAGTCACCAGTTGTCTGCCATTTCAAACTCCTCTGTGTGTTCACCAGTAACTACCACCGTCCACCGACCAGCCCAGGAGTGACCCCGCGACGCAGCTCGGCCCACCTCATCCTGCTCATCACTCCTCATCTCCTGATGCTGATCAACACCTGGTTACTCCAGTCATTCATCATACACTTACTCATTGTTTGTCCTCTCACTGTACTGTACATAATAAATCACAGCTTGCAACGAAGTCGACTACCTGGGTCCACCTCTATTTACCGCTCACTCACCTCTGTGTGCGAGCGATACATAACAAACAGGCCGCCAAAAACAACTGTAATTGGCTACGTGCGCTCTCTTGTGTTTGTTGTTTTTCTTTGTTTTCCTGGTCTCTTGCAACTCATCCTGGATTACTTTTACCAGAGAACAACTGTTAAATTTTGGACAACTCACACCAAACTACCTTTCTCCGATTTTTGTGAATGAAGAATACTGTGTGGACAGTCTGATTGGAGGCGCAGCTACCATCTACGGGACCTGGAAGAAATGCCGGCATGGTAAGCGAGCAGGCACCTTAGTGAGACTTCGCCAAAGAGGAACACGGACTCCACTCCCGTCTATCCACCTAGCAAATCTCCACTCCATGGTCAACAAGGTTAATGAAATTCATCTTGCCAACAGGACTAAATCTGACTTTGCGCGCTCTGCTGCCTTATGCTTCATGGGGACCTGGCTCAGCGACTCAATCACGAACAGTGCGATACAAGTACCGGGCTTCCAGGTGTACAGAGCGGATCGTGTAATGAAGCTGCCTGGGAAAATAAGGAGGTGGAATCCATCTCTACATACATGAAGGTTGGTGCACAGATATCACGGTGCTACAGAGGACATGTAACGCAAATGTTGAGACTCTTTTTATCAATTGCAAACCCTTCTATTCTCCCCGAGAATTCACGAGCTTAATCCAGGTCACTGTTTATTTAAAACCGAATGCTCATGCCAGCGCACTACAGCTCCTGGCAGAACTAATAATTAGTGTAGAACTGAAACATCCTGACTCCCCACTCATTGTTCTAGGGGACTTGAACAGAGCAAATCTCACCCATGAACTGCCCAAATACAGACAGCATGTCACTTGTCCCACCAGGGACAAAATCACACTGGACCACTGCTACACAGCAATAAAAGATGCCTATTGCTCTGTCCCCCACGCAGCCCTTGGACTCTCAGATCATTGTATGGTCCATCTTATTCCAACCTACAGGCAGAAACTTAAAACTGCAAAGCCTGTGGTCAAAACAGTGAAGAGCTGCACTGAGGAGGCTAAGTCAAAGTTACGGGGCTGCTTCAAATGCACAGACTGAAGTGTTTTTGAGACTGCAGCTACAGACCTGGACGAACTCACTGACACTGTGACATCTTACATCAGCTTTTGTGAGGATGTGTGTGCCCAAAACATCCTTCTGCACATAAAACAACAACAAGCCCTGGTTCACAGTAGGACTCAAACAGCTTTGTCGTGCCAAAGAGTAGGCCTACAGAAGTAGGGACAGGACTCTGTATGGCCAGACAAGGAACACACTGACAAGGGAGATCAGAGCAGCAAAGAGGTGCTACTCTCAAAAGATGAGGGACAGGTCTCAGCGAATTACCCCTTGTCTGTGTGGGAGAAGCCTGAAGAGCATCCACACTATGCTCTCCTGTTTTTATTGTGTGGATGCTGTAAAGCATCCATACTATGCTCTCCTGTTCTTTATTGTGTGGATGCTGTGAAGCATCCACACTGTTATCCAGTTCTTTATTTTTCTGGTTTCTTCTGTACATTTTTCAGCTCTTAATTTCTTCAGCATACTTTCAGCTACAAAAGCCATTCAGGTATCAAAATGTTCAGCTTATTAAGGACATGTGTACTTGTATTTTTCTTGTTTGTAACATTTATACTTTTTAACATAATTAGCATTTTTCAGCAAATTTTGCTTTATTCAAATGAATAGGAAAAATTTTCACATCTTAATAACCTCAGCATACCTTCAGCTAAAAACACCATTTCAACTGTTACCTATTCAGCAACTCTTCAGCTATTCATATGTACACAGCTTTTTGATATCTTTTACAGTTTTTGGATAATTACTGTTTACATTTTATACCTCATTTCCATAGCTACACCCTAGTAGTCCTCGGGGTGTAGGACTACTCTTTCATTCCCATACACACAGACACACATACCCCCCCCCTCCCCGCAACACACACACAACCCTACTTGTTTTATCTACTTTTTGGGGACCAGTGAGGATATTTTCACTTCTTAATAAGTTCAGCATACTTTCAGGTAAAAAAGCCATCCAGGTATCAAAATGCTCAGCTCTTCAAGGACATTCCTGTTTGCATTTTTCTTTTTTGTAACATTTATAGTTTTTACAATATTCATATTTTTTCAGCAAATTTTGCCCCATTCAAATGAATGGGAAAAATGTTTCACATCTTCATAACTTCAGCATTCCTTCAACT